AAGGTAGCCCCTCTGTGTGCGGGTTGCTGCTGCGGGGGGGAGCTCGGCCCTGCGGGGGTCAGTCAGGGCGGCGTGAAAGCTGAGCAGTGCTGCTGCCCTGCAGGCTGTCTGGAATGTCAGCGTGCGTAGGAGAAGTGTTAAAAACAGTCCTGGAAGCAGACAGGACTTGTTAAAGGGCTGTCTGACTTTCCGCTGGGAACACCAACCCCTGAAAGCTGCAGTTGGTTCTGTTGGGAGGAACCCGAGCTGTGTATTAACACTCTCAGATGTCCATTATTCAGTTGGATGCAGCACAGGTTTCTCCATGCAGTAGTCTCACAAATGTGGTTGATGACCAAAACCAGAAGCCGTTAGACCACTGCGTGTGATTGCAGGGCACACTTTTAAGTGGTATCGTCAGCATAGTGTTAGAGGTCAATGGCATGAAGAGAATATGCTGAAGTTGGCCGGTTGGGATTAGCACTCATTGCCCTCCACCCTGTGGTGTTCCTGCTGTAGCAGACTTTCCCCCATCCTTAGGATTATTTTTTTTGGTCCCTTTTTCATTTCTAACACAGGATCCCTGTCTTTCCTCAACAGAGCAGTGTACTCTCTGGCTTGAATTCACCTAGGGTTTTTTTTTTTCATGGACTTGCAGTTAGGAAGAACTTTTAAGAAAACTGGTGAATAATCCAAGCTGTTCTTGGTGCAGCTACACACGTAGTAACTATTTCCCTAGGAAACTGCAACCTTTGCATTGCCTTAAACAAGACTAATGTTCAACAAAACTCTGCAAAATTAAGGGAGCTACATCGAATAAATAGCCAAGCCAGTGAATTGTATCACTTAGTAGATACAGAGCTGTTTTGCACAGCCCTTTTCACCATCTCAAACATACAACCTCCAGTGGTCATGGGATAAATAAATGGCTCCTTTAGGTGGTTTCTGGTTCAGCTGAAACTTTTTGCATTTTTGGAGATAGAGGCCATATTACAGTGTTGTTAATCCGCTTAATAATGGAATCCTGTTTTTATTTCTTGGGAATGTTTAATTTATTTACAAGTGTCACACAGACAATGTTTTTTTGGTGTGGTTTTCAGTTAGAAAAGCAGTTGCTTGATCTTTGTGCATCTCAGTGCAGTTGCTGAAGATCACTCTTTAAAGATGGATCACTAGACTTATCTGTAATGATAGCTTTTTCTGGGTTTATTTGGATGGTCAGTTGAGAAAAATGTAATTTACTAATGAGTAAGCCCAAAAAGTGCCTTTACTGCTAAGTGCTGAAGTACACTTCTGTTGGATAGGCAGATGTGGGAATAAAAAACTGGCTAGAAAAAATCGCATTAACGGGAGCCTTTGATACCACAAATGCTTTGTGTGGGAGTGATTCTTGGTCCCTAACTGTTTGGTTTTTTTATCCCCTTCTAGCAAACGAAGATTCCATACTGAAATGAACAAAAGATGGGATCTTCATTTCACACATGGAAATACAACTAAGCTCTGAACTGTTCAGTGGTTGGGGGATTCTGCATGCTATTCTATCAATAAAGTACTTCTAACAGTTTGGTTGGTATTTTTTGAGTGAGTAGCACAGGATGGAAGCAGCATTTACAGAATGTTTGTGAGGAGTGACTGGCTGTGCAGGTGATAACAGA